AGGAGGGGCATATGGCCAAGGACTGCCCCAAGGGGTTTGCAGTGTGTTTCCACTACAACCAGACCGAACACCAGAAGGCAGAGTGTCTGCTGTTGCGGGGAGCACCTCAGGGATCTGCAAATGCCGCCATCAGAGCTACCGAGAGTCGGCCAGTGAAGGTCGAGGCACCGAAGGCACGAGGGAGAGCCTTTCAGTTGACCGCGGAGGAGGTCCGCGCATCGCCCGATGTCGTGGCTGGTATGTATTCTTTCATGTAATTATTTAATGTTTAAAATTTTATGCTTATATTATGATATGCGTAGGTACTTTTCTTGTGAATTCTGTACCTGCTTTGGTGTTATTTGACTCGGGTGGGAGGCGATCTTTTGTATCGTTGGCTTTCAGTCGGCACATCAACATTAGTCAAGAGGCATTAAGTCGACCTCTGAGAGTTTCCATCGCCAACGAGAGAGCAGTATATGCCACGGAGGTGATTCGAAGATGTGTACTCGAGATTTTTGGTGTAGATTTTCCTATTGATTTGGTCCCGATTGCGGACATCTGTTTCATCGCAGGCATGGATTGGTTGAGCAGATTGACCATCTTGCAAGTCATGAATCTCTCCATTTGAAGTCCGTCGCAATCTGCTTCCATTTCCACATGGGAACCTCTAGAGGTTACAGGTTGTCATGCGGCCTCTGATGCTCAGTCTTGACCATCTTGCAAGTCATCCATCTCTCCATTTACCAGACTATGTCTCACTTCATACACGACCAGCAATAACTCAATCTTAAATCCCGATACATCTTGGTGGCCCCCTGATGAATAGAAAAAAGAGACTTATGAGCCTCCTCCATCATAATCCATCTGACCCCACAACACATCAAAATCCATACCCGGCCACATCAGGTCAATAATCCACGACTATTCGAAATAAATCTGGAAATCTCACCCCTGATCCTCTCTTTCTTCTAATTCTCTTCTCGAACACCCTCGGTCTGAGCCTCCCTAATCAATCCCAAAAGCGAGGACTCCGCTGATATCCTCACAGACGATACCCCATCTGAAGGCCCATCCGAATTGCGGCTCAGAGCATCTGCTACTACATTCACTTTACACGGATGGTAAATAATCTCACATTTATAATCCTTGACTATATCCATCCACCTGTGCTGCCTTATGTTCAGGTTCGGTTGATCCATAATATGCCTCAGACTCTTATGATCTGTGTAGATAGTATAATAGACCCCATAAAGATAGTGCCTCCAAACATTGAGGGAAAAAACCACTGCCCCAAACTAAAGATCATACGTGGGATATCGCGTCTCCTGCGGCTTCAGCTTGCGTGAAGCATAAGCTATCACGCATCCTCTATGCATGATGATCACCCCCAAACTAGTGATAGATGCATCACAGAATACTACGAGATCCTCAATTCCCACTAGGAGGGTCAATATCGGGCCCTCACATAATCTCTGTCGAAGGGTCTCAAATGTCGATTGCTGCTTGGGGCCTCATCGGAAATCCACTCCCTTCATCTTTAGACGAGCGATGGGTACTACAATCATAAAAAATTCTTGAATGAATCTCCGATAGTATCCTACCAAACCCAAGAATCTCTTTAGATCAGAGGGAGATTTCAAAACCTCCCACAACATCATGCCCTTGATGATGGCGGGATCGACCAATATCCTATCCCGGTTAATGAGGTTTCCAAGGAACTGAATCTATCATAACCAAAATCACACTTTAAGAACTTACCATAAAGTCGTTCTCACCTCAAAATCCCCAGAAGCTCACGAAGATGCTCCTCATTCTGCTCTCTGGTCTTGGAATACACTAGGGTATCTTCAGTGAACACTATAATCAAAGGATTGAGCATCAGCATGCATACCATATTTTATTGGATTAGGTGTCTAACCCCATAACTACAATTGGTATGTAATTGACCCAAGAGTGGCATGGTCCATTCGGGTTCCTTATCACCAGGACAATTTGATAAGATGGACTTTGAGAAGAGGTTATTTATGATTTATTAATATATTATAAGTTATAATATATTAATATGAAATCATGTGATATAATTATTATTGATCAAGAATTAATTTGGAATTAATTTCGTGATCCGAAGAGACTAATCAAATTAATGGGGACTAATTGTGTAAATTAGTTATATATATATATATATATATATATATATATATATATATATATATATATATATATATATATATATATATATATATAGGATCAAATGAGAACACCCAAAAGGTTGAAAACACGAGAACAGATCTGAACCATTTAAAAAACTAAATCTAAGGTTATTATTGAATGGACCATTTATGTAAAACTTTAAACGTTACAGGTATTAAAGTGTAACTTCAAATAGTGATAAGGGTATTATAGTAATTGGACTTTACTACCATTATTTAATTCATATACTTCCTCAATCACTCGCCTATTTCCTTCTATTTCCCATCTCTCTCTTCATCTCTCTCTGTAAACCTAGGTACGCCTCCACCCTACATCATCTATCCACCAAAAAATGGAAAAGAATGGTGAGACAGATTGGAATGGATGAAGCCAAAATGGGGGAAAGGGAAGTAGGATCTCTGAATTGCTTTTGATTAGAAGGAGAGGATTCACGAACGGAGAGGGGGAGGAAACAACAATAGGGGGTATTTGGAGGGAAGCTAAGCTCGTCCTTTATTGCATTGTACCTCTTCGCCTTTACGGTGAGCCCGTCGTCACTGCTTGTGTTGAAGGGGGTGCGATTACCTGGATATTTCAGGTGAGCCGTAGTTCATGGAGAGGATGGAAGCCGTGTACCATGAGAAGGCGGTGGAGAAAGGTAGTTTGGTGATCTTGGCTTGTGGGTTTGATTCGATTCCGGAAGAAATTGGGTTGATGTTCAATTCCAGGCAGTAGGTTTCGCCAGCAGCTCCCAATCGGGTTGAAGCCTACCTGTCC